AACTTCCTCCACAAGCCCAAGCGCTGGCTGTGTTTACAAAATTTTTATTTTTGAAAACATGCTATGACCTTTTACATAATTACAACCTTATTTCACAGAGCAAAGGGGGGAAAAAAAAAAGAAAAATAGGAGGCAAAGCAAAAAAAAAATCCTCCCCCACAACATCTTCAAACAAGTCACTCTGCTCTTATTTGCTCAGAAATGGGCTTTCCATTGAAACATATTTTATGTGGCAAGCTTTACTCTTTTTATTTTTTTTTTATTTTTTGGGACATCTGGCACCAATCGAGGCGAGCAGGCCTGGCGTTACAGCTCTGTTTTGAACCGCTGCCATCTTCAGATTACCCGACACCACCCAGTTTTTCTGTGCGTGTATATTTGTTTTTTGTTAACGCCATCAGTATTAAATCACTGCTTAATTCCTTCTTTTTTGGGGGGGGGCGGGGGGGAGGAAAGAAAAGCTGAGATTTCCCGGCGGCTGCCCCACGGCAGGGCCGGCCGCGCGGCTCTGGCATCGCGGGAGCCCGAGGTACCCGCCTCGCAAACTGATCCAATCAATAAAGAATTTGGAGAGCAGAGCATTTCTGCATGTCTTTGTGCATTAAATGAAAGGCAATGGCTTCAAAGACATGCTTATTAAATGTGCCTTAAAAAGAAATCAATGCCAGATGTGACCAAAGCAGCCTAGTTAGAGCCTCCCCGTAACACACACGCTACTCCAGGCACTGCGGACCTCTTCCCTGAAGGTCACCCGCAGTTTCACTCAAAGTCCAGCCAAAAGTCAAAGCTTAGATCAAAATGATTCCCTGGAGGTACACACATTTGTGTAATTAGTTTCACCTTGTGTCTGTGCAAGATAAAATACTGGGCACATACCCAAGTTCCTTTTATAAATTTCTGTATTGTCTTTACCCAGGTGTAAAGGGGTGAGATCTAAGCAAAACGTTGTTTCATCCTTGTCAGTCACTTAAAAACATTTTCTAAAGTAATTACAGTCTGACAAGGCACAAATAATTGCACCTGGAGGGGCTTTTGGGCCACAGAGGTTTTAGGAGCCTGTTTCTGCACCGGGGCATCAACAAAAAAATGTCATAGAAAACAAACAAACAAAAAAAAGGATTTTTTTTGGGGGGGGGGGGGGGGGG